CCTCGGCAGCCGCTCGCAGGAGGGGTTTTCTTCACGGGGAGCAGGCTCTAAGCTGAGCCACGGCTCACACATGGGCATCGTCCTCGGCACAAACCTTTTGGGGACCCAGGTCCACAAGCAGCTGCAGGCACCGCTCCCGAGGCTCCTCCGAGACCTCCCCATCGCACCGCTTTCAGGACCGAGATTTCAAAACCGATGCCAATTTATTTATGTAGACGTGAGACAGAAACCTTAAGCGAACCAGAACCAAACAAACCCATCCTGCAGTGCCAGGGTCAGGAGCTCCTTGTACACGGCCCCAAGCTTCCAGCCCAGGGCAAAACCCCTCCAGTTCTCGCCCGTACCTCAAGGGCACGCAGGATCAGGGTCCGCGCCAGATAAGCTCATCTGATCTTAAAAGATTTCCTTCTTTCTCTGGCAGCCCGCAGGAAGGGATGTGTTTCCCTGACCACACACATCCTCAGGGTCCCCCTCGCTTGTCCATGGCACTCTCAGGGGAGCGACTGGTCAGACACCGAATCCAGACAGAAGCAGGAGCTGGTGCAGCCCCCAGGGTAAATAACCCGAGGTTGCTGCAGGGCTCTGTAGGACCTTCAGCCAAGAATCCCGAGCAGCTCCAGGCTCTCTCCTGCCAGGTAAATAAATCAGCTTTTATTGCTTACCACAAGAGAATTTTTCCCCCTACTTCTTTCTATATTAATCCAATGGAAATTCAAAGGGGAAATACCAGCGGGGCTTTCTGTTTTCATTTGGTTTAAAATCCTTTTAAAAATTCCTTGCTCCCAACCACCCAGGTTGGGAAGGAAGGGGACAGCGAGCAGGCACACCCCAAGGTTTTATCCACAAAACCACCCGTATTCAGGGTTTCTCCTGACAGAGGCTCCCACAGCATCGGGCGCTGCCACCTCTGCCCTGTGCCCCGTGTCCTTCCCTTATCAGGGACACGGCGGGACGGGGGAGCCCCCCGTCTCCCAACCCCCATCCCGAGAAGAGCAGCCCAGCAGTGGGGAAACGGACCTGCGTCGGGATCGGGCGCAGGGAGGAGGTGGAGAAGCCTGGCAGATGTATTTGCTATCGCAAGCAACAGCTCCAGCACAGCAGCCACCTCCCGGAGACGCGCGGCTGCTGGCAATTCCAGGGACACCAGGTCACCCTTCTGCATGAAACGTTGGTTCGGGCAGCAATATTTTGCTTGACAAGGTGCCAGGAGCAGCCCGGCACCACGGTGCCCATGCAGCAGCCACCTCCTCCTCTGTCCACGCAGTGCCGAGCCTTCACTCCCAGCCACGGTTGGCCCCACGCCGAGAACAAAAGGCAAAGGGAGGGAAACACGCGGAAAAGGGCTGTGCTGGGCTGAGCGATGGCGCGACACAGGCACCGCCGCGGCTTGGCTGCGGTCAGAGAGGACGGCTGGCCCCGGCTCCCAGCCCATCGCCGGCGACCTGCCCTGCCAGGGAAGGCAGACGAAGGCTGAGGATTCCTGCGTGGAGTCCTCGTGGGTCAGACGATAGGAATGTCATAAAACCGGGTGTTTCTGCACAGAAAGGGATGGTTCTTGCGCTTGCCCCACCTTAGCCCGTCCCAGCTGGATGCCCACTCCAGAGCAGGGTGGCACAGCACCTTCAGGCCAGCGCCAAGGGACGGGGGGGAGCCGGGGGACCCGCTGGGTCAGAAGAGCCCCAGGATGGCGGTGGCCCCAGCAGCGAGGCCCGCGCTGCCGTACGGTTCTGGCACCATCTCCTGGACAAAAGCTTCTCCAGAAACAAGCCCAGCAACGCAACAGCGGAGCGAGTCAGCCAGGCGCTGCCTGATGACCCCCGAGATGCGAGTCGTGCCCTCTCCCCGACCATCAGGAGATGAAATCTGCACTCTGCTCCCCATAACTTCAAGCTGCCATCTCCTCCCTCCCCTCTACTCCGCTCCTCGCCCACCCAACCGCTCGAGGCCCCGGCTGGGAGCCAGGCTGGGGACACCATGGCCATCGCACCACTGCGCTCTGCAGCACCGGGGCGGGCAGGAGTGCGCTGCTCCCTCTTGGCTCTCCCAGCTCGAGCACGGAGACCAGTAATGACCTGAAGTGAAAGAGCTGCTAAGCGAAAAAAAAGCCTAATTGCTTCATATTCTTAATGTCTGGTTGTAAACTGCTTGTAATTTGATAGACGGTGCCAGGGAACGCCGCTGCCAGGAGCGCTCGTGGGTGCTGCTCTGTGGATCCTACCAGGACGCCGGAGCCCAGACACCCAGATTGCGAGCAGATGTTGAACAGCCTTTTATCACCGATCCCAGTAACACATTTACCACCAGGCACGGCAACCCGCTGCTCCCATGTCCACCCTGAGGACTCCAAACCCATGTACAGCTCGTTCCCACAGCTCCCACCGGCCGGCATGGGAGGAGGCATGGCAAGGTGCCACCAAAACACCCCTCCAGCTCTAGAAGTGAAATCTTTACA